TTTACGAAATGAACCAAGTTTGATAGAGAAAATCCAAGTTAAAGTTTATGCAAATGAAGACGAATCTTTATCAGATATAAAATCACCTTCATGGTCATGATTTCTATTGTGTTTTCTTCATGAATTATTAATGAGTTTTCTAAATAATGATAAAACAACCAAAAAAGGTTTTTGCGCGCTTCATTCAGTAACCCAGCATTTAGAAAACAACTGACAACGTTGACCCCCATCTTTCCTCTTATAAAAGAAAACAACGATTATGAAAACAGACAAACGAATGAACGATTTATTTTGTTTTAGATGCTGCAGTGATAACAACTTGGTCGTACCCTTCATCTGTAACAGGAATTCACGGGCAGAACATCACTATTACATATGTTGCCAATCTATCAGACCATGCTCCAGGAGTAACGTGGAAGTACGTGAAAATAACCAAGGACAGTAGTGAAATGATAGAGATCGAGCCTGGCAAACAAAAAACAGTGTACCCATCATTTGCCAGTCGTACTTTTGACCTTGATCTAAATGTTACTCAGACCGACGCTATAGTAACCATCAAGTTCACATTCTCCAATTTAATCAAGGCTACAGACGAAGGGCAATACTCAATCAGTCCGTTCGGAACTAGTGACTACAAAGGAGCTGCCCCTGCATCACCGACATCGCTGTCTATAAATGGTAAGGGCTGCTAAAATAGCTCATATCTCTACATGTTATACTAAAAAAAAGGGCTCGTTCACATTAGGTCCATTTTAGATCGATCTAGTTCCGAGCTCAGTTTTCGAGAACTTTTGTCATATACACGACCATGAACAAATAACAACACAAACACAGGAAGTCTAAACAAAACCAACTGATTTAATAATGTGCATGTCGATCATCAAACACAAAACTTTGATTTATTGATTCTTTTTATGCAGTACAGACAGCTATCACAAGTCCAAACCCAAGTATTGTCACTGTTAACGAAACACAGACTGCACAGCTTGAATGTACTGCAACTGGTAACCCCACACCCAGTATTAACTGGACAAGAGATGGTGTGATGGTTGGCACAAGAAGCCCATACACTACACCAACAGTTACATCTAACGATGACAAGGCGTGTTATACGTGTGTAGCCTATAATGGAATCCTTGATGCCAACACCGCTAACGTCTGTCTAAACGTTCAATGTAAGTACGCRAATACGCGAATACAAATTTACGTGTGTTTTAGTTTGTTCGAAGTGGAAAAGGTATTTTTGAGCAACAAAGACTTTCTATATATATTTAAGACATTCAATTTTTGAAACTTTTTTTTCTTTTTATGTATTTTTTAGACAATCCAAGAAACGCAACAATTTTGAGTGACAGATCAACAGTTTGTCAGAATGATAAGGTGAATCTGACCTGTACATCAGGACCAGCCAACCCAGCACCTAGTAGCTACGAGTTTTATGACAATGGTGTTCTTGTTGGAACCAGTTCATCCAATGTTTATGAAGCTACAGCTACTGCAGGCTTACCATCTGTAAACAAGTTTGCTTGTGTACCAAGAAATCTTCTGGGAACCTCCTTGGAAAATGGAAGTGTGGAAGTGACTGCAAAAGGTAGTTTTATTCACTCTTATTTTTTAATTAGTTTATGAACAAATAAATGACCCCCCTATTTCAAAGCGACACCAAAACAACTGTGTAAAAAATTAATAAAGCACATTTTAATTTATGTTTGCCAAGTCAATGTATACATTATTAATGAAGAAATATAAAACATTTTTCCATGTTTGATACTCTGATCAAAACGTAACGTAACGTTGTACCCGAAATATTTCATAATATTTCATTTTAAACGTTCATATCTTTTATAAATCAATATTTTCTTACCCTGACATTTGTTTTTGTATAAACGAAGTGAGCCCGATAATCGTCAACACAACTCCAAGTCAGGAGATACGCAAAGGATCGAGTCACACTCTCTATTGTAATGTTGAAGCTCAGGGTGAAGACATTAATGTGACTTGGCATAAAGTTGGTAGTGGTCAAGTATCCAGTAATGGTGTATATACCATACCATCTGTTACACATGCTGATTCAGGTTCATACGAATGCAGAGCTAAGACTGGTAACGAGTGTGAAGTGAAAAGCACCATGATAAAACTCACTGTGATTTGTAAGTAATATTTCACAATAACAGATTAACTTTGCAATCTGATTGGCTGACAGCTATTATCAATAAGAGGACAGACACGAGGAAACGGTCGTAGATGTTTTTCTTCTTCTGTTATTGTAAAAAACAAATTGGTCATAGATTTCCATTGACAGTCCTCTTATCTGATCCTCTTATCTCCTCTTATCATAGATGATCTCTTAAAATGTTCAAAACTTTTACAGTGAAACCATATACCATTTTTTAAAACAACTGTTCCTCGTGTGACTGAACATGAGCTAACATGTTTGTTAACTAAGCACTGACAATTACTTTTATAACATCAGACCATAGCTACGAACGTAAGTCACATTGTCAATCCACAATGATTGAAGAAATACTTTGTGTTCTATCAGACRGTTTTATGACTGAAAAAAGAGCAACGCATCAAGAAACTTTCATCCAATTCATCATCATAGTCAGTAGTCAGGCAATGTTATCACCTTGAGTTAAGTGATTTGCAGGCACACGATTTACTTAATTTGTTGGATACGTTTTCCCTCTTAGCACCTCCGATCATCAGCAACATCATAGTGACACAAGACAGTCTAACAGTTACCTGGAATAACCTGGTTTTACCTCATAACACGATAGCAACATGCTTGATATATGTGATGCAATCATTCCATGGTGCCAACTGGATGACGTCTTCAAACACCAGCAATGAAGATTCAATAACATGTTCAATTGCCGAGTTGAAATCATCTACCTTTTATCGTATGCAGTATTNTATATGAATGAATTCTACTTGATTAAAACCTGCTTCATAAGAGATTGATACCGGGCAATGATGTGCAATGAAGTTGTGAGCTTGTTCTCCGGCATCTTCAGTCATGCAATTTTGTAATCACGAGTATTATTTCAAAGTGAATTTTTCATTAGCATCATTAATTAATTGTTTTCAGATTCGCCAGAAAGTACTAGTATACAGCCAAATTACAAAGATTCCCTCCCCAAGCACCCCAAAATATTATTATCAAGGCATTTTGAGTATGTTGCTATCGAAACGTTTTAATAACATTTCATTCTATGTCATCCCTTTCTAGACAAACCACATCTCACGAACCTGACCAGTACAAAGACTGAGGCCTGCCTGAATGACTCAGTTACTTTACAATGTACAACAAATGCCAACCCACCAGCACATGAATATCGCTTCTACTTGAATGATCAGCTTGTACATACCAGCATGTCTGGAGTCTATCAGTTGAATGTTCCACAAGCAGGCAATAACACATACAAGTGTGAACCAAAGAACAATGTTGGAACAGGACAGAATGCAACACTTGATATTCTCACAAATTGTAAGTTTGTTCTCAAATTTTGTATGTTCTAAAAATTACAGAATGATCGGTGACGATAAGCACTAAGCTAAGGATAAGARTCTCTTGGGTAAAGTAAGTTTTTTTTTTGGCTTCGATAGATGTTGCTATAAAGTAAAACGTTCAATTTTAGCTGAATAAAACAAAAGTCATTGTATACATTATTAAGGAAGAAATATAGACCAATTTTCCTTGTTTGATAATCTAATCAAAACGTTGTAACGTTGTACCTAAAATATTTCATAATATTTCATATCAAACGTTCATATCTTTTTTTAATCAATATTTTCTTACACTTGCTTTTTTTGTTGTTGTATAAACGAAGTGAGACCGATAATCGTCAACACAACTCCAAGTCAGGAGATACGTGAAGCATCGAGTCACACTCTGTATTGTAATGTTGAAGCTCAGGGTGAAGACATCAATGTGACTTGGCATAAAGTTGGAAGTGGTCAAGTATCCAGTAAAGGTGTATATACCATACCATCTGTTACACATGCTGATTCAGGTTTATACGAATGCAGAGCTAAGACTGGTAATGAGTGTGAAGTGAAAAGCACCATGATAACACTCACTGTGATTTGTAAGTATTATTTTACAATAACAGATTAACTTTGCAATCTGATTGGGTGACAGCTATTATCAATAAGAGGACAAACCCATTGAACGAGGAAACGGTCGCACACGGAGCCAAAACCTTTTTTCAACTTTTTCAATGTTTTTATATGTTTTGTTATTTTAATTTGCTATTGTAAAAAACAAATTGCCCATTGATTTCCATTGACTGTCCATTATCTGATCCTCTTATCTTATCTGATCCTCTTATCTCCTCTTAACATAGATGATCTCTTAAAATGTTCAAAACTTTACAGTGAAACAAAATATGAATCTTAAAACAACTGATCCTCGTGACTGAACATGATTGTTAACTAGGCATTGACAATTGCTTTCATAACATCAGCCAAAGCTACAAACTTAAGTCACGTTGTCAATCCACAATGATCGAAGAAATACTTCGTGTTTTAAAAGACAGTTTTATGACTGAAAAAAGAGCTTTCATCCAATTCATCGTCATAGAAGCCAGCCAATGTTATCACCTTGAATTAAGTGATTTGTAGTCATCGGGAGTCGATTTACTCATATACGTTTTCCATCTTAGCACCTCCGACCATCAGCAACATCATAGTGAAAGAAGACAGTCTAACAGTTACCTGGAATAACCTGGTTTTACCTCATAACACGATAGCGACATGCTTGATATATGTGATGCAATCATTCCATGGTGTCAACTGGATGACGTCTTCAAACACCAGCAATGAAGATTCAATAACATGTTCAATTGCCGRRTTGAAATCATCTACCTTKTATCGTATKCAGTATTTCTTACAAATCCACAAGAACTATGTAAATGGCACAATCTACATAGGAACTTCTGCCAAAGGTACGTGCCAACTATGATTGAGGTAAATTGTGGCATTTTGCTATGATGGTGGTTCTAGAATGAGTGCTCCATTCTGCTCAGCCCATCATCAATGTCAATATAAATAAAGCTAACATTTTTCTTGTTTAAAGTCAATAGAACAGGAGCAAGTTCAAACCATTCAACRTGTGATACAGGAAAAGCTGGGAAAATTTCATATGGGGTGTCATCTACAATTTTTGTAGCTGTCATTGCTGTTGCTTTTGCAGTTATTGTACTTCTCATATTGGTTATCGTATGGATGCGACTTCAAGGTTTGTTTGATGGTTGTTCATGAACTAAAATTTAGCATAATTTTTGATAAATTAAAAAAAGAAGGAAATAATATACGACATGCAATAAAAGAAACGACTAAAAGTAAAAAAACGTTTATTTTTAATTTTTATATTCTCCTTTAAATTTTTGAATACAATTTTCTCTTTTTCAATATTTAGGCATACGAAACGACAAAAGGTAGGTACAAATATTCAATTTATTCAACGATAAAGAAAAATAGCATATACAATAATTGATGAGTCCCAAGCCACAGGCTTATGGGAAACGAGAAATAAAAACGAACACTGACGAACGAACAAACCGAGCTTAGATGTAAAATTCTAAGTGAATAATTTTTTTTATTATGAATTATATATAACATTTTTATTTTCAATATTTTATTATTTCAGAATCAAAAGACAAGAAAAAAACCAGGTAGGGTGATTCAGTTTATGGAATCATTTTGGAAACGCAGAATACCCCTGCCGTTTGGATATAGCGATACTGACGATAGAGTGACAAATCTTTATTACCTTTTCAAATTAATGACTGATTCAGTGGATCTTTATATATCCCTTAGTAATACGCGTTTATTTATTTCATCAACTAAGTTTTTTTAACAGATAAGTAAACATTAACTGATTATGCATAACAGTGCCTTAATGTTGTTTCTTTCAGAGGGAAGTTCCCGTCAGTCGATCCTCGTTTTCAACACCATCTTTTGATACTAAGACTGTTTACGAGAACGAGGGTTTTATTTCCCGCCAAACCAAACCAGATGCAGATATGGCTCTGTACGAGCAAGTACAAAACAGGGGCCGGGTAATGAATCAAGGTGTCGTTGGAMCGCCTTCCTTTCCGATGGAGTATATACCAGGAAGCCGACCAGCAAGACATGAAACCGAGAACCAGGTGCWATCACAATTGAAGGAGCCTTCTTATCAGGCACTGGATCAAAGAGAAATGGCTGGTACTAAGCATGTTGATGTTAATGAAGGGTCTTATGAACATCTGTTGGGATTTACAAGGAGTCCAGATAATACTACTGCAGCTGCGTTACCTCAAGACCAAAACCCTTACCAGGCTATGCAGCCTGAGAATCGGTCCACACAATATCAGTCACTTCAAAACATGAATAGACCTATGTTAAATGTGTGAGATTTAGAGAGATGTAAAACACGCCATAAGAATAATACCTCTTTATTTACATTTAATTGGGTGTAGTGTTTTTTCACATTTCTGGCCACGTGCCATTACCTATGAATTTATTTAGTGGTTAGGGAAGCGACACCGTTACGGGGTCTGAATAGGGAAAACATTACGCTAAAGKTAAAGAAGTCTATTGGACTTAAAATGAGAAGTAAAGGATGACTTTTTTATCTGTTTTAAAGCTTATATGGCTAATAATGTTATTCGCGCGGGATCCCTGTTTTCTTAGTGGTCCTTGCCGGGTTGGGGCTTTGGGTTCCCATTAAACTTTCAAAGAATGCAGGGTTAACGTTGTTWCCCTCTCCATTTCATTCAGTAAGAAATTCATGRCTATCCTATATGAAGTCAACAAAACAATTAGCTTTCTTCTTTTCGTCAAAATAATAAGATTTGTCCCTGAATAAAGATCGAAATTTTAGTATAACCCTCCCCTCCCGTATCTTCCCCAAT